ACACTGCTTCTCCACAGTCAACAGTTTTCAGTCTAAAGGGGATTAGGCCTGGTACACATTGCAAAACTTAGTTAAATCATCCCCACATCACTGAGTTATCCACCAGGGCTGGGGCTAAGGTGAGGCAAAGGGGGTACTTGTTTCAGGCACAAAATTTAGGGGGAGCCAAAATGTTCAGCAATCAAGATAAATAATATTTTAAGGCAGTCCTTTGAAGAATCAAAATTACTTTTAGAAAATCCACAGTGAAGAAAATATCAAAATGTGAAATAAGGACAGAGCCGTCCACAAGAGTAATAACCCCGCTGCAGGGAATGACTGTCTTGTGTATTCAGGTGCTTTACATACACTAGAGCATTTACTCCTCATAACCCCACACGAAAGGTTATGATTAGCTAGTCTTTGGAAAATTCTTAACATAAAATTGTATTTCAATCTATTCTTGGATAAAAAAAGTATGTATTGGTGAAGTTAAATGTAAGATATCAGAAACTCAGTAGAGACTCATACAAAAAAGTAACCATACTTTCCTTTTTAAAAACGTCTTCTACAGTTTTTCCTTTTCCCCCGTATGCCCAGTTCAATGACCTAACTTGCTTAGAAAAACAAGACTTTTCCAAGAGAAACAACATTTAAATCAAAGAAAGTCCTTACAGCAACAGTGTTTTTAAATGTGATTGTTTTAAGATTCTGACATGTCTGACAGGCTGAATTTCTGAAACTTCGAGTTGGGGTGCTGTATCACTTGGGGACCACTTCTCTAGGGGAGTTTTATAGCTGCACTTTGGAAGTTGCAGGGAGAGGGATTTTTGCCTTTGAACTGTGATATCTCTTCAACAAAAAGGAGGTTTTCATTACTATTATTTACAGTGAAACTGAGTGACAGGCAGCTGCTATTAATCATTGACTTATTCACCATTAGGGGGTCCTCATGTTAACAGCACTATGCTTGGGACACAACTGTGAAATAAGAAAACCAAAGTCCCTGCTTTTGTGGGACTCACATTTGGTTTTGTATTGTTTTGTTTCTTTGCTTTTTCTTTAAACCCAATGGGAAGAATAGTCTTTGATTTTTAGTATTATGATAGGGCTTAGCATGGCATGTTGCATTTAGGACCTAATTTTCTCATATTAGCAAAATAGATAATGTCAGTTTGTGTCATTGTAAGGAAAATGGGAAATACATTCAACCTCAACTAGTTAAAGTCTGAATGCGCTAGATATCCCCAAATCAGTAACAATCCTTAGACCTATATTACCATTATCCTAAACATTCTCACTCATTAATGGCTTATTAATCCCCTAGCTAGACATTTAATGTCTAACAAATTTGCTTGTGCCACATGGTTTGTGTGAATTTAAAAATCCTATGGTTTTCCCCTTTCTTCTAAGCTGCCTTTCTGAAAACAATTCAAGAAAGCAATAGGGAGTTAGGTAAACTCTGCCCTTTATGATTTTATCATAGAAATGAATAAGGGTGGTTAATTTCATGACACATTTAGCCTCCTTTTCAAATTATTTCTGCCCATAAAAATGTTTTCATATGGTACCAGATAACTCCCAGCTGCTCTATGTGCTGAGACATGCCTTTTCTGGCAATACTATTGGACTCCAATGGTACAATCACAATACACAAAGAGGCTTTTCCTGACTTTCCAGATCTTCAAGACAGTTCTTAGGAGGTGGGCCCAGCACTGCTAGAACTACCTTTTATTAAAATACCACTGGTTCCATAGTTTATATTACTCACTCTAAAATCTTACTAATTTCCAGACACTTGTTTTCCTGAATAAAAATGTCTCAAGACTCCATAGTCACATACTATCTTTGCATTAAAATGCAATTGCAGCTAAAATCAGGAATGAAAGCAAGACATCACTACTGATCTTAGAGAAACAAAAGGGATTATAATGTAATATTACAAACAACTGTATGTCAACAAACAAGACAACTTAGATGAAATGGACAAATTCCTAGAAAGACACGTACTACAGAAATGGACTCAAGAAGAAGTAGAACATCTGAATAGACTATAATAAGTAAAGAGACTCAATGAGTAATTTTAAAACTGCTCCTAAAGAAATTTCTGGACTCCGATGCCTTTAAACTGATGAATTCTACCAATCACTTAAAGAATAATTAAAACTAATCTTTCATAATTAGAAAATAGGAGAGAATACTCCCAAACATATTCTATAAAGCCAGTGTTACCCTGATACCAACCAGACAAAGACATCAGAAGAAAATTACAGACCAATATCTGTTATAAATATAGACACAAAAATCCTCAATAAAATACTAACAAATCAAATCCAGCAACTTATAAAGAAGATTATATACCATGACCAAATGGGATTTATTCTGGAAATGCAAGATTGGTCTAACATCAGGGAATTAATTTATGTAATACACCATATCAACAAAATAAAAACTAAAATTTGTCCTGGTGTGGTGGTTCATGCCTGTAATCTCAGCACTTTGGGAGGCCAAAGCAGAGGCTGCAGTGAGTTATGACACCGCATCTCTAAAACAAAAAATAAATAAATAAATTTAAAACAAATTAGATGATCATCCCAACAGATACAGAAAAAGCATTTGACAAAATCCAACACCCATTCATGATAAAAATATTTAACAGTTTAGGAATACACGATAACTTCCTCAACCTTATAAAGATTATCAACAAAACATTCACAGCTAACATTATACTTTCAATAAAAGACTGAATGTTTTCCCCTAAAGATTAGGAAACAAACAAAGATATCTGCTCTTGCCACTTTTATTTAATATTGTACTGGAAGCTCTAGTCAGTGCAGGAAGGCAAGGAAAGGGTATAAAAGGCATCCAAGTTGGAAAAGAAGAAGTAAAACAATCACTGTTTCAGCAAGGTTGCAAAATATAAGATCAATATACGGATATCAGTTGTAGTTCTATCCATTAATAACCTAAAAAAGAAAGAAAGAAAGCAATTCCATTTACAATAGCATCTAAAAGAACAAAATATTTAGGAATAAATTTAATAAGAGTGTAAGATATATACATTGAAAACCACGAAACATCACTGAAAGAAATTAAATACTTAAATAAATGTAAAGACATTTCATGTTCAAGGACTGGCAGGCTTAATGTTATTAAAATGCCTTAAATACTCCTTAAATTGATCTATAGATTCAGCACAGTCCCTATTAAACTCCTAGCTGTCTTTCATAAATTAATAAGTTGATCCTAAAATTTAGATAAAGATGCAAGGGACCTGGAATAGCTAAAAAAAAATCTTGAAAAAAGAACAAGATTGGAGGACTCACATTTTCTGATTTCAAAGTGCTTCAAAACTACAGTTATTGTTGGTGGGAGTGTAAATTAGTTCAACCATTGTGGAAGACAGTGTGGCGATTTCTCAAGGCCTTAGAAATAGAAATTCCATTTGACCCAGCAATCCCATTACTGGGTATATATCCAAAGGACTATAAATCGTTCTACTGTAAGGACACATGCACACGAATGTTCACTGCAGCACTGTTTACAATAGCAAAGACCTGGAATCAACCCAAATGCCCATCGATGATAGACTGGATTGGGAAAATGTGGCACATATACACTATGGAATATTATGCAGCAATCAGAAATGATGAGTTTGTGTCGTTTGTAGGGACATGGATGAATCTGGAGAACATCATTCTCAGCAAACTGACACAAGAACAGAAAATGAAACACTGCATATTCTCACTCATAGGCGGGTGATGAAAAATGAGAACACATGGACACAGGGAGGGGAGTACTAAACACTGGGGTCTATTGGGGAAAAAAGGGGAGGGCCAGTGGGAGGGGGAGGTGGGGAGGGATAGCCTGGGGAGAAATGCCAAATGTGGGTGAAGGGGAAAAAGGAAGCAAAACACACTGCCTTGTGTGTACCTATGCAAATGTCTTGCATGTTCTGCACACCCCCAAACCTAAAATGCAATAAAAAATTAAAAAAAAACAAAACTACAGTTATCAAGACAGCATTTTACTAGCCTAAAGATAGACATATAGATTAATGGAATAGAATTGAGGGTACAGAAATAAATACTTATATTTATGATCGATTGATTTTTAACAAGTGTGCCAAGATGTTTTCCTCCAATGGGGAAGAAATAGTCTTCCACAAATGGTTCTGTGAAAACCGGACATACATTTGTAAAAGAATGAAGGTGAAACTCTTCCTTACACCATACACAAGAATTAGCTAAAAATGGATTATAGAATTAAATGAAAGAGATAAACCTATGTAACACTTAGAATAAAAAGGGTCAGGTGCAATCCCAGCACTTTGGGAGGCCAGGGCGAGAGGATTGCTTGAGACCAGGAGTTTGAGACCAGCCTAGGCAGCAGAGTAAGACCCTGTTGCTACAAAAAAATTGAAAAACAAAAACAAATACAACAACAAAAAAAAACCGTGGCATATGTTTGTAGTTCCAGCTCCTCTGGAGGCTGAGGTGGGAGAATCGATTGCTTGAGTCTAGGAGGTTGAGGCTGTGGTGAGCCATGATTGCCACTACACCCCAGCTTGGGCAACAGAGCAAGACCCTGCCTCAAAAAAGAAAAGAATAGGAAAAAAATATATAAAAATAAATGTTTGTGATCTTAGGTTAGGAGTCTTAGATTCAATAGCAATAGCACAAGTGAAAGAACTAAGACAAATTAGACATCATTAAAATTAAAACTTTTTTCCTACTGTTACTATCAAAAAAGTAGAGAAACAAACCATCAACTAGGATAATTTATTTGAAAAATAGATATATGATAAGGAACTCTAATCCAGAATATACGAAGAACTCATACAACTCAATAACAATTATAAAATACGGTGAAAGATTGGAATAATTTCTCCAAAGATATATACACAACCAATAAGCACATGAAAAGATGTTTCACATCATTGGCTATTTGGTAACTGTAAATAAAAACCACAATGGGATGTCACTTTACACCCACTAAGATGACTAAAAAATTTTTTAAAGGTAATAACAATTGTTGGTGAGAACACAGAGAAACTGGAACTTTCATGCACTGCTGGCGGAAATGTTAACCGGCACAGCAATTTGAAAACAACCTGCAAGTCCCTCACGAAGGCCAAATACGGAATTACCATATGACCCAGCAATTTCAATTCTAGGTATGTACCCAAAAGAAGTGAAAACATACATCCACACAGAAACTTGTACATGAATGCTCATAAAAGCATTATTACTAATAGGCAAAAATCAAATGTCTATAAACTGATGAATAGATAAAATGTGATATAGCTATACAATGGAATATTATACAGCCATGAAATGAAATGAAGGTTTTTTGTGTTTTTTTTTTTTGAGACAGAGTTCCGCTCTTGTTACCCAGGCTGGAGTGCAATGGCGCGATCTCAGCTCACCGCAACCTCCGCCTCCTGGGCTCAGGCAATTCTGCCTCAGCCTCCTGAGTAGCTGGGGTTACAGGCACGCGCCACCATGCCCAGCTAATTTTTTGTATTTTTAGTAGAGACGGGGTTTCACCATGTTGACCAGGATGGTCTGGATCTCTTGACCTCATGATCCACCCGCCTCGGCCTCCCAAAGTGCTGGGATTACAGGCGTGAAGAAATGAAGTTTTAATACATACTACAGCATGAAGGAACCTTGAATATTAAGTGAAATACTAAGTGAAAGAAGGAAGTCACAAAAGACGCACATTGTACAATTCTGTTTATATGAAATGTCTAGAATAGGCAAATCTATAGAGACAAAGTAGTTTAATGGTTGACTAGGGCTGAGAGATTGGCAAGAAGGAGGGGAGCAACTGCTGATGGGAACAGGCTTTCCTTTGGAGGTAATAATAATGTTTTAAAATTAGATTGTGGTGATAGTTACACAACTGTGAATATACTAAAAACCATTGAATTGTATGGGTGATTTGTATCGTGTGTGAATTATATCTCAATAAAACTGTCAAAAATGCAATAGCAGGGATTCGTGTTGGATACAAAATTAATTAAAATAATATGGTTAATTTTTAACCTCCTGACTCAGTTTATTAAACTGTGAAAATCGGATAATGCCTTATTTCAAAAGGTTATATGAAAAAAGTATTGATTCCTTCATTTATTCAACAACAATATTTATTGAGTGCAGCCTGGATGTAAGCACTATTCTAGGTGCAGGGAATAGAGCGAGGAATATAATCCAGCCCTTGTGACACTAACGTTCCAGTAAGAGGAGACAATCAAATGACGCATATTTTAAGTGAGAATTAGTGTTACAGAAAAAAAATACAAATATCTCTAATTTCAAATATATATTTATTATATATACATATATGTTTGCATATATATAGGAGGAATGGAGAGAAGGTGAATAGGGTGGTGGATGGAATGTTCGATTTTAAGTTGATCAGGAAAGGCTTCACTGAGAAGGTGACATTTTAAGGAAGTCCTAAGGGAGCAAGTCCTGTAGTTAATCTGGGGGAAAAATCACTCCTGGTAGAAAAAGGCCCTAAGGCAGCAGTGTGCCTCTGGGTGTTCTAGAAGGAGTAAGAAAGCCAGCTCAGCAACAGCTGAGTGACAGAGAGGGGAGAGAAGAGATGATGGGGCATAAGGTGTGTTGGGTGGGGATGGGGGAGGTACAAGGGAAGACTGGAGCAAATCACGTAGAATTTTACTATAGATTGTTGTAAGAAATCTGGCTTTTTTCTCTGAGCAGGAAGAGCCATCAAAGGGTTTTGAGCAGATTAGCAAATTGATCTGATTTACATGTAAACACCTGGTGCTGCTCTGTTGAAAACAGATGGCAGGGCTGCAGCATCAGGAAGACCAATTCGAGACCTCTTCAGGGTCCAGGTAAGAGACAGGAAGGTGGCTTAGGGTGCTATTGGAGGAGGTGGTGAGGAAGGATTAGCATCTGTATATATTTTGAATGAGGAACCAACAGGATTTATGAACAGATCAATTGGGAAGTGTAGGAGAGAGACGTAAATGAAAGAGAAATAAAAATGAGTTAATAGGGCTGGGTGCAGTGGCTCACACCTGTAATCCCAGCATTTTGGGAGGCCAAAATGGGTGGATTGCTTGAAAAAATTAGCAGGGTGTGGTGTCGGGCACCTGTAATCCCAGCTACTTGGGAGGCTGAGGCAGGAAAATCGCTTGAACCTGGGAGGCGGAGGTTGCAGTGAGTCGAGATCACGTCACTGCACTCCAGCCTGGGCAATAAGAGCAAAACTCCGTCTCAAATAAAAAATGAATTCGTAGATGTTAAACGTTTAGCATAGCACCTGGCAAACGGAGACCACTGACTACTTTTAAGTTGTTATTATTATTCCTACTTTCTGTTATGAGAGTCATAGAAGATAATGTATGGAACCTGTCGGTCAGAGTCAGGTGGCTGCGCGCTCTGCAATCCTGAAGGCAGGCCTGAGAGCTACGTTAAGATGTAAATGTAATTTACTTTGCGAGGTAAGTTTTAAAAGCAACTCCACCATTTTATTATTAAAGCTTACAACATGATAAATTATGCTTTAAAAAATTTTTTTTCTTATAAATTATTAATACCTCTGATTTTCATATAGAAAGACCCTCTATTAGGTGCTGCCAAATAAGCCAGCTATTAGATTAGGAACTTACATCTCAATTCAGGTATCACTTATTAATTTGTTCGGTTGATGAAGCTATTTGTCTCATCGGGAAGCCAATTAAATTAATGCATCTATTTTACCTATAATTTAAAAAGAAAAAAAAATGTCTAGAAAGAGCAGAAACACTTTCCTTACCCAGGCTCTTATTATCAATTTAAGTTGACTTAGATCCAAAGGAGGAAAGGCTGGGAAGTGAAAGGGCGTTGACCCAGGGTGAAAGAGGGGTGGGAAGCTCAGGGAAGGGTTTCCGTCTTGGAAAAGACCAAAATAAGAGCTTCCACGGAAGTAAAGATTCATGCAGGAAAGGCCTGGAAACCTGACCATTAAGTGGAGGGCTCCCGTGGTCCTAATCCCCCCCGATGGTGACTGATAACCCCCATTGTGTCTGGGCCTAGTGCTTCCGGGCAGGAAGCCACAGCCTCTGTACCAGGGATAAGGCAGGCTGGGAGCAGGCCTGGTGAGGGCATCTCACTGCTACTTCCTTCTCTTAAGGAGGGTCGGGGTCACGCTCCCTTTCCCAGGACCTCAGAGGTCTGAGAGGTCACGGCTGGTGTGGGCTGCAGTGGAATCCTGCCTCTTCCGTGTGAAGGTCAGTCCTGAAAGGGGGTTGGGGTGAGGTGGCTTGTGAGGGAAGGGGTTTGAGGAGGCTAAGGGAGGAGGAGTGCGGGAGAAGAAGTTAAGAATTGGAAGATTCACACGGTGGCTTATGTTAGGGGGACATCGTGAGATTAAGGGTCAGCACGGAAAGTGATTTGAGCGTTGGGCTAGGAGAATTCTCTCTTCCTTGAGTTGTAAATTTTTTCAGATTTTACCTTTATATTTTGGCTAGTTTGGTTAATAATTTGGCTAATCAGTGAGAACACAATAAATATGAGTTGTTCACAAAAGCTGTGGACTTTAAAGATGGCGATTCCGAGCCCTGGGAGGCTCAGCCCGGCTCTTCCTGGAGTCCTGTTCATCTCCTCCTCACACTTTTAGACTAGAAGGATCTCAAACACATGCGCTTCAAAATGCTGACTAGGTTTGCCTCTGCCTGTGCATTTTCAAAGGTAAGATGAGAGAATCTGAGGGCATTTATAATAATACTAAAACTCTCACAGCCCTTACCTCGGCCCACGCACTGTTCTAAATGCCTTAGATATAGTAACTCATTTAATTCCTCATAAATACCTCTTTGAGGTAAGAAGTAATATGTCTGTTTTACAGTTAGAGAAACTGAATCACAGAAAAGCTAAGTAATTTCACCAAGGTCACACAGCTAGTAAATGACAGAATTGGGATTCAGACACTGGCAGTCATGTTTTTTCCAGCTATTTTTTTTTTTTTTTTTTTGAGTCGGAGTTTCACTTGTTACTCAGGCTGGAGTGCAATGGCGAGATCTCGGCTCACCTCAACCTCTGCCTCCTGGGTTCAAGCAATTCTCCTGCCTCAGCCTCCTGAGTAGCTGGGACTACAGGCGCGCACCACCATGCCCAGCTAAATTTTGTATTTTTAGTAGAGACGGGGTTTCACCATGTAGACCAGGATGATCTCGATCTCTTGACCTTGTGATCCACCCGTCTCGGCCTCCCAAAGTGCTGGGATTATAGGCTTGAGCCACCGCACCCGGCCTGCATCTTTCATTAAGTTGCAACTTCACATCTTAATTTAATTAATTAATTAATTTATTTATTTTGAGACAGAGTCTCACTCTGTCCTCCAGGCTGAAGTGCAGTGGCCTGATATTGGCTCACTACAACTTCCACCTCCTGGGTTCAAACGATTCTCCTGCCTCAGCCTCCCAAGTAGCTGGGATTATAGGCGTGCACTACCATGCCCAGCTAATTTTTGTGTTTTTAGTAGAGACGGGGTTTTACTATGTTGTGACTCCTGACCTCAGGTGATCCGCCTGCCTTGGCTTCCAAAATGCTGAGATTACAGGCATGAGCCACTGTACCTGGCCACATATTTTAATTTTAAAGTGAAGATCAAATTTTGATTATAAATTCTTTTAAAAATCACATGATTGCTTTTTCTGATTATAAAGTGTATATATAATTGTTGTAGAAAATTTGAAAAAAATTTTAGTCACAAAGAAGAAAATTAAAACAACCTACACTGTGTACCACATGGAAATAACTGTGATTAATGTATTAATGTATCTTCTTCCAGATATTTTTGTATGCATAAATGTATGTACATTATTAGGATAATACTCTATTTTGTAACCTGACTTTTCCCCTGGACAGTATATCAAAAATGTGTTTTTATGTCCTGTGGTATTCTTATACAACTGGATTTTTAATGGCTAAGTATTCTATCTTATGTATTTTCATAATTTATTTAACCAACCCCTTTCATTGCATATTCAGGAATTACCATTTTTCCCCTCTTAAAAAAATAACTCTGTGGTAAACATAATAATCACCACTATTAAACAAAGCAGTGCTTAAACACTGCTAAAACAAAGATGAGGCATTACTGTGACAATTATTCAAAAGGTTCTAAATTCAAACAAAGTTCTGAGGAGTTTGAAAGGCCATCTTAATGCAGCTCTCAGGCTTCCCTTCAGGCTCGCAGAGCGTGCAGCTGCCTGACTCTGACCTAGGACTCGGCACCATGGAGCATGATATCATTTGTATGTTTGTCTCCAGCCAAATCTCATGTTGAATTGTAATCCCCAGTATTGAAGATGGGGCCTGGTGGGAGGCGATTGGATCCTGGGGGTGGATTTCTCGTGAATAGTTTAGCACCATCCCCTTGGTGCCGTCCTTGAGATAGTGAGTGACGTCTTGTGAGATCTGGCTGCCTCACTTTCTTGCTCCTGCTCTGGCCATGGGATGTGCCTGCCTCCCCTCAGCTTCCTCCATGATTGCATGCTTCTAGAGGCCTCCCCAGAAGATGAGCACATGCTACCAGTTTAACTGGCTCAAAACTCTGTAGGTGTTACAGCTTCCTGTAATTTATTATAAATTACCCAGTCTCAGGTGTTTAAAGCACAAAAAGTACAGCCTAATACAGAGCATTTATTCATTCAATTGGCTCATATTTTTTGAGCAGCTACTATTTCAGGAGCAGCGTCTATAACCTCCAGAGTATTCATGGAGTTTGTTTAAAGAGAGCTTAGGAGCCTGTGATCCTGGAGTCAGACTGCTTGCTCTGGTCCCAAGAGGTTTACCTTATGACTTTGGCCAAGTAACTTTACCACTCTGAACCTCACTCTCTTCATCTGTGAAGTGAGCATAATGGTACCTACTTCATGGATTGTTGTGGAAATTAAATGAGATAATGCTTGCAAAGCTTTCATACCATGTCTGGTACATACTAAGTGCTCATTCATTATTAGCTCTAACACTGCCCTCCCGCTGTTATTGTTGAAGTTTTATTCATCTGAAGCTCTAGAGCCATCTCTCAATAATGCTAAACCTCTCGATCGCCTACACTTCAAATAATTCTACTCTTGTCTTGCCAGCAGCTTAATTGAGACAACTGTCTGACCTATAATAACTTGAGTGGTACACACTGTGAAGGAAAAAGGAAATAGTTAACAGATAAAAATACAGAGTTCAGCAGTTTGCCTTCCAAACTACAGGAGATACTTGATTAGTCCTGAAACTTAGAGTCAACAAAATACGATTGCTTAAGTTTACTCTGGACAAAGAGATTTCCTCAGTGAGGCAAAATCATGTTTCCTCAAGTTCTGTTGACATTTTGAAACTCTAAACCCTTCACTTTTCTACAAATCATATCTGCTGGGACCCTGATATGATTTGGCTCTGTATCCCCACCCAAATCTCATCTTAAATTGTACTCCCATAATTTTTTACAGGCTCATAGGTGGAAGAGACTTGCCTTGTCTCAGATGAGACTTTGAACTGTGGACTTTTGGGTTCATGCTGAAACTGGCTAAGACTTTGGGGGACTGTTGGGAAAGCACGATTGGTGTTGAAATGTGAGGACATGAGATGTGGAGGGGCCAGAGGCGGAATGATACGGTTTGGCTTTATGTTCCCACCCAAATCTCATCTTGAATTGTACTCCCGTAACTCCCATGTGTTGCTGGAGGGATGAGGTGGGAGATAGTTTGAATCATGGGGGCGGTTCCCCCATACTATTCTCCTGGTAGTGAATAAGTCCCATGAGATCTGATGGTTTTAATCAGGAGTTTCCACTTTTGCATCTTTCTCATTTTCTCTTCCCACTACCCTGTAAGAAGTGCTTTTCACCTCCTACCATGATTCTGAAGCCTCCCCAGCTATATGGAACTTAAGTCCAATTAAACCTTTTTCTTCCCAGTCTTGGGTATGTCTTTACCTGCAGCATGAAAACGGCCTAATACAGACCCACACGCTCACTGCATCACTGATGCTAAGTAGGAACAGCAGGAGGAGCACAGAATGCTTCCTTCCAATCTGGATATTTTCAGTCTCCTCTGTGGTCAGGAACTTCATGAGGATCCAGGAGGATTTTAAAGCAAAGAGGCACTCAGGCCAGCACTGAACTGGTTGCTCTGCCCTTTCCACCCCTCCTCCTACAAAAAAATCTGCAGCTTAGTCGCCACATTTCATTCTTTTTCAGTATTGTAGCACAGGCATATAACACTGCACTAATCTTTTTTGGCTATAACTTGTATCATGTAAATGGCAAAATGCAGCTGAATACTGTGCTGACTGGAATGGAGATTTGCAAGGTGCCAATGGGGAAATTAAAATTACAGCGTGAAATCGCATGGAGCTTCAAGGTAGTTTAAAATCTTCTCAGCTATTTACCCACAGTCTTTAAAAAATGCTTCGGACCGTGGGAAAACAAAGGTGGCTCTCTGTAATTCCTGGATATGGCGATTGAGTAGGAAATGTGCTTTGAGGGGACCAAATTCAGAAGTCATTGAAGAGGCAGCACCATCTAACTGGTGGAGGATCCAGCTGGATTTTCTGTCCCTTCATCCGTTGAGCTGGCTTGACACTTCCCTTCTTGGTGCTTTTGTTGGATTTGTTTGTAAAATGAGAGTCATGCTACTAGATACTCTCCGAAGTATCTATAGTACAAGAGTCTATAAAATATTTTTTGGATGTTGAAGTATTTTTAGACTTTGTACAATTATTAGATGTATTGAGATACCTGATAAATGTATTTGTTAATAATATGGTATAGGCAATGAGCATAGACAAATGATTCATAAGAAAAAAATACACATAATGAACATTTCCAAAGGTTACTTTTACTAATAATCACAATTTTTTATTTATCCCAACAATACATATTTTTTAAAAGCAGTTCACTCTAAAGAGTCACATGGAGAGTGCTGAGATAATCTTGTTTGCTTAGAAGGTCATGGAAATGCAAATAAACCTTTAAATCCAGCGGGGTCTAAGCAGGATGGGGACCTGATATTTTGCAGGCTGCTCCACCCACTGACTTTCGTGATGGACTCAGGTGGTTTCCTCTGCCTGCTTTTGGGTCCTTTTCTTCTGCTGTCAGCACTCCCCAGGCAGCCACTCATCCCTGCCTCTCAGGCCATTTGTTTTGAGGATGCTGGGCAACACTGCCCCCACCACTCCCCACTCCAGGCTTCAGTCCTGTACAATTCAGTCCTTGGGCTTTGTTCAGAAT